TGGTTAATTCACAATTTTGACATCATTCACACATAATTATTACTTATAACTGTGGCATGCTTAACTTTATTGAGCCCCTAATGCTGATTATGTTTTTAAAAAATCACATAAATATTGGTCGAAGATAATATCCAACATCAACTTGTACAATAAATCTGTTCATTCGTTGTTTATTTTAAATGAACAGTGCTCTCATTCAATTGCGCACATTACGGATGCCACGAGTCCACGAGCACATATTGTAATGATCATAATAAAATTAATTAATAATGAATAATTATTCCAATAATGCTTCAAGGATTGAAACACCGGTAATGATATACACGCTTAATAATGGAACACGCAATCCTGCAGTGTCTGAATGGTAATGTATCTTGGGCTAAATCCAAACGGATTATATATGAAGCACATATAATTGTTTGAGGAACCAAATTATTAAAAAAAGGATTAGGATTTAGGAATTACATAATTGTTGGTGAACCGACAGGCAATAACACATTCAACGCATTTATATATATATATGTATATATTGCTTATTTTAAGACTTTGAAGGCAATAATGTGCGTGGGTATATATAGCTATAGGTAGCCACAAACAATGATCCTATATCTATAATTTCCATTTCGAAAGACAACTTATCATTTAGGTATCTTTGATTTGATTTGAGTATAAAACTAATTAGGTTTATTGCCAAGAAAGTTCCTCGTTGCTATGAAAAACCAGAGATAAAGACAAGCAAAGGGTCAAATCAACATAGGATCAGGACCACAGCCCGAATATATAGCAGATGAAGCGGTGCCATACAATATAATGATGCACATATATTATTGTGTTCAATGCATCGTGTTCATAATTTCATACTTAATCCAATTAATAGAGGTTTGTCTTAATTATTAGTTCCTGCACTTGGGTAATTCATTATGTTTGAATACTCGAAACAATTTGGGAATTAGTTTCCGAAGTTATTGCAAGTGAGAAATTAAAGAAACGCATGAAATTAGGATATCCTAACAAATTAAAGATGAATTTGCTTTAGCTTGAGGTATTGAATGCCAAAGATAGCTCCAGATATAATCAAAATTGTGGCTAGGATGTAGGAATGCGGGCCTGGTGCATCAGATAATGGCAACCAACTTACGTTGTCCGTCTATATATCATAAATGACAAACTTAGGATGATTAGATGCTTCAGCGATAGCTAAATTGATAAACAATAATTGAGAGATAAAGTAAGATGAAACGTGGAAGGTAAAATCTTATTGATATGTTAGTTAAAAAGTTAATACTGCCTCTAGTACTTAATATAAGACTTCGTTTGACTTTTATCTTGGTTATAAATATAAGACCCCAATCTACTTTGTCTTTAATATTTATACATTTTTTTCCAAGATAGTCCTTCTAACAACAGTAGTTCTAGTCAATACACTTGATTAGCAAGTATATTTTAGAAAATATAACACCTATTTATGACAAATAACTAACTTAACTTCTTTTCTTAATCTCCTCAAATTAGTCAACTAGCTCTTATAATTAGGACCAGAAGTAGTACAATTTTTTATCTCTTAAATTTGCTCTCATTTTGAGTTTGGTCACTCCAATTGTCTTAAACTATAGTTTTTAGTTTCTCAAGTTTCTTCTCATTTAAAATATTGATCTCTATAATTTAACAAAAACCTGTATCATTTTACCCTTTGAAAGCCAACACTGAAATGAAAATAAATTCGGGAGACGAAAAATTATATGAACTCTGTATTAAAATATAATTATTAGCTCAAAAGATGCATGTTACCAAAACAAGACTAGCGCCACCATGTTTTGGGTCTGTGGGCACAGAGGCCGAGTCCTTTAATTGCCCTGAAAACAACTTCACGTACGTGTTAATAAGAGGCTATATGGAAGACACGTGAGTTCACAATTTAAATATATATATTGGTAAATGGAAATCCGTTTGGTAAATTCATAAAGAATTAAAGATACTAATGTATATATTCTGTAGCAAGCTGTTTTGCATGCAAAATCACGCTTTTCATCATTTAGTATTGACTCAAAATATGAAATTAAGGTAGATGATCTCAAATTCTGGGCGTGGCACACAGACAAATGGATGCCTCCAAATATCGCAAATGGGATCATCATATATAAATAATGGGTATCTTGATTGGCTTGCAACTTTCTTGGGATCAGGGTTTATAGGAATATTATATGTATATTTATTTATATATTCGTGGGTGTTGATTCTATGGAAGCTTAAAAAGCCACCAAACGGGCAATATTCCCCATGATATAAGAGATACATGTTGACGCGAATTAACTGGGAACACGTTGACCTGAATTTTGTGGTGACTAATATATCCCCTTTAAATTGCATGAACATTAATTATATTCTTTGAATATGAGTAATTATATACAAGAATATTACAATTTTAAATATAATCACAGGCCTCTAAAAAAATTTTTAATTAAATTCTTTTATGACATGAACAATATGCTCTTCAGTTCTCACACGCTTAGAACTTCATTATGAAAAAGATCTCTTAATTTATGAGATCAAATTAGTGTTACGTTTACTCCAGGAAATAAGCCATCTGTCTTTTTTATGACAGATATGTGTGTGCCTGTGTATCAGCGCAGACAGAAAGAGGTGTCTTCAAGGAACCAACCTCAAATTAACAGAAAACCCTAGCAGCACCAACTGAATTATGAAAAGAAAAAGTAGACATGTATAAGCACAATAAAAATAATATAATGGGGGCCCTTGTTTTAGATAAAGGACAAGCTTGGGTGAGGAAGAAGCTTCATGGAAGGAAAAGCTTAATGAAATAAAGGTATGTATCACTTTCTTCCACACTCTCCCTCTCCCTGCTCATATTCATGGATTCGTCAAGCTTTATATTATTGATTCGTACGTCTCCGTTGAAAGTGAAACCAGTTAATGGTTATTATATATGCTTTGTCCACCTTAATTCATTTTCATGCTATGCTTCCTCCCACCTTCATGTCTCTCTTTCATCCCTATCACTGTGCCTTTAATCCCTCCAACTCCTTAATTAATGTCTGTTTCCCTCCCCACCATCTCCATCTTTAATTATTTAATTTTTCTTCTGTTCAGAATGGGAATATCATAGATGTATATATTTTTATCGTTATTTTTTTTCACATTTTTTGCAAGGCAGAAAACGATGATTTAGGATCGAGAAATGCAGGAAAGGGCCGTGGCTGGCCTGGCTTTAATTTCGTCCGTTAGAGTTGCCACATTATCGTTTGCTTTCTTTTCGATTTCTTTTCAAGTTAAAATATATTTAACATCCCAAAATATTTTTTAGGTATATTCAAATTCTTAAAATATTTTATAATGTATCCAATATTTTAAAATATTTTTTAGGTAAGCCTAATACTGTGAAATATTTTTTTTATTATGTCTAATATCTAAAAATATTTTTTGATGCATCCAGCATTAATGTAAGAAAAGAAATATTTCAAGATACTAAACACACCTAAAAAATATTTTAAGGTGTTAAAATGTATCTGAAAAAATATTTAGAAATACTGAATGCATATGAACTTTTTTTTTTATTTTAATCATTCACTTTTCTATTTGTTTCATTATAATTTATTATTAGTATTATTATCTACGCCTTCCAATACCTTTCTTCCCCTCTTGTCGTGGCTTCTTCTCCATCTGCCACCCATGCGCCTTCCCCCTCCTTCCTTTGCCACGTCTCCTTCTAGGACACTGCCACTCATCCAAGAGCCCCTTCCCTCTTCTCTTTTACATCAACATAAAACTCATACAAAACACGAGCCTTTTAATGCAATGTTAATTTTTTTTTCAATTTCAGAACATAACAAAGTACTATTTTTAATTTTTAACATGAGAACTACTTACCGATTTAAATAGATCAACAAAATTATTTATCTATTTATAAAAAATAAGTGTTTTTTTAAAATACTCTTGATAATTATATATATTAGCTAAAATTATTATTTAATAAAATATTTAATATATAAAACTACTATGAGAACTATTTTAAGAAAAAATGAATAAATATAAAAGATAAAATAAATTAAAATATTATATTTAAAATTAAATTAAATGTTAAATTAGTTTTTATACCATAAACCTTTCTTTTCAAAATGTAAGTATAAACTTCTCCAGTCTTAAATATAAGATCTTTATACTTTTATATACACTATAAAGATTTTATATTTAGAATCAAAAGAGTATTAACATCACTGCACATAAATATTTGTACCGCATCTTTAGCGTTTGAATGCAAATTATGGAATCCCGTGCATATCGCCGGAGTTTTATTATTATTTTCTTCTAATTGTAAATTGTAATTGAACTATAAATAAACAAATAAAAAAGTAAATGGTAGAGCGCCACAATCTGATGAGCCCGTGTACACCCGCGATTGGAAAATCTCCATCGTATCAAAATTCACCAACTCTTATGACTTATGATGTAATTTGCAGAACTTCTTTGCTGCTCTCAGGTGCTCTGATCTCACATTTCACAGAGCCAGTCCCAAAGTTTGCTCTCTATCCTTTGTTTATGGTAATAAAATTATCACCATCGTCCGTCCCTTCAACCAACGGTTTAGATTACGAATCTCAGTCCCCCCGGCTTCACGTGACCACCTTCCCTTTCCCGGATGGCCTGCCCCCACCATTGACGGTGAAGATTGAATAACCACGATGAGACACGTACACACGTGAGAGCATACTGCACAGAAATATAAGCAACACTTCAGTCTCCCCTCATTCTTTCGACGACACGTACCCCTAACTCGGACAGCCTGTCTACCATCACTTCCAGCCTGGAAATCAATTCCCCACTGATTCAAATTTCAGCTTTAAAGAGAAAAATAAGAAGAATATTTTCCATTAAAGACGTATCCGACGTGGCAAGAGGTCCAAAACACGACGTTCCTTCTCTCCCCTATATATACCCTCCGTCCCTAGCTTTCTTCTTCCTCAATCTAGAGCTCCCCTCTGCATTTTAACGTATTAGGCATAGTAAGTAGAGAATTATAGATCGGAGCAATTTATTACAAAATGGGCAATTGCAGCTCCGGCGATATGGTGCACGTACCGACGGCAAGGCTTATTCTGGAAGACGGCCAGCTTCGGGAGTTCCCTTACCCGGTGAAGGTTTCCTACCTGCTGCAGAAGTACCCGATGTGTTTTATTTGTAACTCCGACGAGATGGACTTTAACGACGTCATGAGGGCTATCGACGAGGACGAAGTGTTAAAACCGGGTCAGCTCTATTTCGCTTTGCCGTTGAGTCGGTTGAATCATCCCTTACGGGCGGACGAGATGGCCGCATTGGCGGTGAAGGCCAGCTCGGCGCTCATGAAAGGTGGAGCCGGTGAGAAATACATTTGTCGTCGGGCGCAGATTGCGGTTCCCGGCGATGAAAACTCCAAGTCATGTCAGACAGTTTCTCACAGAGTCAGCGGCGCTCGCGGTGTAGGTCGATCAAAAATAGGAAGGAGAGGTGGCGGTAGTGGCGATCAGTGGGCCAAGTCTACCGCGACGTTGAGCACCATACCGGAGTACGGGTAGTTTGGGGAGAAAATGTTCGCCGGTGACCTTTTTTTTCCTTTGTAAATAACGATAACCAGATCGATATGTTTTTTCCCACGAAAAGAAAAAAGAACATTAATGTAGAGGTATTATCCAGTGGAACAATGAAAGTGATCAGATTTCACTGAGACGGACCCAGTTTTCATGGCTGCTCTGTTCATCGTTGGCTCTAATCCATTTTATTTATTGGTTTATGATTCTTAATCCCTCTATTGGCGGATTCACCTCCCAGAGGAACAACGAAAAGGTAAAATTTCCTGCAATTAGTAGCAGTAATTAATGGTAACCGTGTTGAGCAGAATAATCTGTGTCAATTAAAAACGTACGAGACAATAATGTAGAGCGGAAGTAGAAGAAGATTAGCACTTGCCAACATGATGGTTAGGTACGGCAAGAGAGATAGAGATAGGCATATAGGAATGGCAACATCAATGTGATTGGGCTAACGAAAATTGCAGTCAAATGGAATCAACAAAGTAGGTTGCTAATGGATGAAATGCCAAAGAGAGGGGACAAGAAAACAACCTCTTTCACTGCTGTCACGTTTTCAAATCCGACTCATGCTTGAAAGAGATGTCAGATTTTAGCGATAAAACGAGATTTTAGGGGGTGTTTGGTAAAACCAAAACCACGGTTTCAGAATTACTTTTCCGCAAAACGAGGTAACCTCCTCTATATATTTACTTCGTAATTCGTAAAAACACTTCTGATACCATGGTTTGGTTTCTATCCAAACACCATTTTACTCCACATAAAGCAATCTAGTTAATTATCCAAGTTAGGCGTGCGAAGATGATGATAGGAATAACCATGACAATTACTTACCGCGTTGTTTCTGTATGTATGTCACTTCTATCTTATTCTCGCATGTTACAAAATCTATTAAATGGATAAAAACCTTTTTACAATTGCCCTTATTTAAAGAAGGTATTGAAAAAAAAGTATGATATGTACATTTTCTCTCTCTTTTTTTTTTATTGTATTCAATAGGATAAAATTGGAGTAATATCATTAATTTAGATACAAATTTTTTTTAAGTTACAAAAAGTTTAGATGTTAGGTCTCGAGAGTTTATTAGGGTCAGGGTATGTCTCTAGGTTTAAAGAGCGCTTACAAAGGTATTTACAAATCGTCCACCAACAAGATCCTCATATCGGTAGTGGGATTCAAACTTATGACCTTGTGGGTTATAAGCCGATTTCTTATCAACTAGATCAATTCTTGTTGATAGAAACAATTTTTTTCAATTTACATATAGGAACAAAGTGGTATAGGAGAGCCCAAGGAGTGGTGAAAGATGAAAAGGAGCAAAGGTACAAGAGCACGCGCACAATGTGGTCTATTCACAAAACCAGACCAAACAAAGCGAGTGAGAAAGTTAGATGAGAGGCCGTCCTAGCGCGAAGACTTGGAAATAAATTGTGTACAGATGGAAACAACTAGCAAGCATTCACATAGAAAGCAGAGTGAGCTAAAAAAAGTAAAGGTAACATAAAAGACTTATCAATGGTAATTAATATGAACAGTGTTTGGGTTAGCCTGTGCTGCCTAATGCTCTGATCTGCTTTATACAGCTGTGGCGTTATGATGACACACACAAAGATCCAGGAATCTCCAATATGGAACTGTATTGAAGCTGTGTTGAACCTTTCAGTTCAGTACGGACAAGAAGAAGCCATGTTGGGATCTAAAGACAGAACATTGAATCTGATTTTATGGAGAGATCCTCGGATAACGTTTGAGCAGCTTCAATGGTGGACTTAACCAAGTTAGCTGACTGGCTGGCTGGCTGTGTCCAGTACTGGTGTCATTTGATCAGTGGTCCAGAGAGCAGGTCTTGAAGTCCTTTTCGCATGATTTTGTTTTGACTCGATGCTGGGAATTATCAGATTGCTCTAATTAGGACTGCTTATGTGCGTTCATTAATGGTCACAATTATATATAAACACGTTGAAGCATTCTTGATTAATTTTTTTGGGTATACACATGCAAGTCAAGTTTTCACACTTGATTTGAAAGATGACCAAGGACGGTGGAGTCAAACCAAAGTGAGAGAAATTAATAATAGAGAGCGCATTTGTATGGTCAAGGGCTTAAAAGCTGTAATGTACTCGTATTTGTTTGCTGGTGTTTGTGTTACTGATGATGCTGGGAGTTGGGAGCCACAAATTGAAGAGTTGGGGACTTGGAGTGCTTTGAAAGAGCTAGTTCATATTCATAAATTTGTAAAACATGTATGATTTTAATCTGTAGTGCTTTTTAAGAATTAAAATTAAAAGTTTCTTAAAAATTATGCCAACAACTTTTTATAAAAGAAGGGGTAAGATTTAAAAAATAATAATCTAAATACCACACCTTTATTCTATATTCAGGATAAAAAAATAAGGATTCAAAATTTTGCTCTATAATTAAAATCGAAGGGAGCATATACAAAAGACATTTTTCACTTGCAATGACTTTTTTTTTAAAGCAGAAAATCAAAGAGTAGTATCTTAAACATCGCTTACTCCAACTCCAAAATAATAATATTCATTGGGAATTCAAAGTAATTCACATTGAGCTGGCTAGGATCACAAAAGTCAGCAAAACTCTAGCGCACAGTATTTAACATTGGCACAAGTTGAGCCAGGCGTTTGATGATCACTCGACCACTATCATGAAGAAAAGCCAGCTGTGGGGTGGAATCCGATGTTCCGGACTCTTCTTACTTTGGTTGCTGTTAATTCCAGTAAAAAAGATGGGTTGGGTAATAATAATGCATTTTTCCTTTTTAATTTGTAGAGGCCATAAAAGATCAACTCTACTGCCTTTTTAATATAATAATTAGATAATTAATTTATAAATATTAATAAAATTAAATATATATTTTTAAAAAAATTCCCGTTAACAATATGTATTTGAATTACTTTTTAATTGTAATTTCTTAATATGTGCAATTCTCATAGAAATTACTTTAGGGCAAAATGAATAAATATTAAAAACAAGGTGAATTAGAGTTTTATATTTAAAATTAAATTAAATTTTTAACTAATTTTTATATTAAAAACTAGAGGTAATATTTCTTTAAGGTATGTGGGGGTAAAAAAAAAATTTTTTGGTTTCCATTATTATTTGCATACTCGATGATTTTAACATCTAAGATTCACCCACAAAGTAATTATAATGTGGTCCTAAATCCTAATCCTTATATTGATATAAGACAACTAATAAGCACGTTGAATGTTCAACATGGGAATGGGAAATAGTGGATGTCTATTTGGCTTGCCCCCTTGCTCCTTGTGATTGAACGCTTCTTGGCTGGAAATGTTTGAATATTATTTTTTTTAAAAATGTTAATTTCACAAATAAATAATTAAAACTTAAAATTACAAAATAAACAATATTCAAAATATTATTAAGGGGATTTACTTTTGATGATGCTAATTATATAAATGAAACTAATTTTTAAATTTTTTTAACTTATTTTAGTGCATTTTATATGACAACAATTATATGAATGAAAGTAAATAAATTTTTAACAGAATTGTAATAATCGGCCACCACATTCATTATCATAAACTTTTACTAATTGCATATGTCAAAGGTTCTATGAAATGGTAGTTCTAGCTAATACACATGATTAGTGAGGATAATTTGGGAAAGACGACACTTAATTATTACAAATAACTAACTTAACAAACTTTCTTAATTTACTCAAATTGGTCAATTAGTTTTTATATTAAGGAGGGGAGGTAGTATATATTTAAGTTAATGTTGTTATTTTCTTATGTAAATTTTTGTAAAAATGTATTTATTATATGAACTAACTTTAAAATTTTTATAATTTACTGGATTTAATTACAGATGTTTAAATCATGAGGATTAAATTAAAAATTAAATAATAAAAACAAAGGTATGATTTTCCCACCAACATATTTGGATATAGAAGGAAGCTGTCTTTTACATTTCTTTATATACATATCAATTAGGAGAGTTCTAATTCAAACTTACCAGTGCCTAAAGATCATATAACTGAAATGCACGTGGCCACCACGCCTCCTTCCTCCAGATCTCCTTTTTTTTTTTTTTCTTTTCTTTCCCTTCTTTCTTTTTTTCTTTTTCGGTAATTAAGATAAACTTCTTTATTTATCGAGTTGGATTCAGCCAGAAGTTAAGAACCAAATTAATATTCCTTTCCTTAGGCTGTTGAATTTTAGGAATTTATGTTTTGACTAGTCTAGGGGCCGGGCCACTGGCCAGGATGGCTATGCTGTTTAATTTATAGTACTACCTCCGGTCCTAATTATAAAAACCAGTTGACTAATTTGAGGAGATTAAGGAAGTAAGTTGAGTTAGTTATTTGTCCTAAATAGGTATTGTCTTTCCTAAAATATCCTTGCTAATCGAGTGTATTGACTAAAACTATCATTATTAGAAGGGCTACTTTGGAAAAAAATATATAAATATGAGAGACAAAATAGATTGGGGTCTTATATTTAGAACCAAAATAAAAGTCAAACAGGGTCTTATATTAAGGACCGGAGATAGTATTTACTTTTATTTTTTAAGATAAAATATTGTTTGTGAATTATAGTGATTTTTTTTGAACCAAAGACAAAAGGAAATTTATACGTAATAAGAATTCCTTACAAGTTACGATAACTTAATAAACCTACATTAAGAGAATTGAAACATAGAAAACCAGGTTTAGACATCACAAAAAATTGGATAGAAGAAAACAATCGAATGGGAGCAAGATTTTTTTGCTAGGTAATATTGAGAGTAGAATGGCTTTTGATAGGGATGCAGATAAACTTCTTCACACAGTGGATATGAAGGGAAGGTTTGTCAGCAAAGTTTCCCACATTAGATTTTTCGATCCAAAGAAGAGCAGCTCTGAAAAATTTGGAATGAAAAGCTGAACCTGTAATACCTTTGTTTTTTTCACAGGAATTCTTTTAAGGGAGTTCCTTCATAGCAAATAACACCGTGATAATAGTACTGTCTTAAACGCTTGTACTTAAAAAGCAAAATGTCCCGTCTTTCATTAGACAGAATCAAAGTGTTTTGAGGAATGAAAGGCTTAGAGGAATGTGGTGTGTGGAACTTATCATAAGCAAAATCAAAGAATGAAGCAAGATGATGAACTTCTTGAATGACGGAGATCGGGGGATCTAGTTTTCCTTCACAAAGCATTATGTTTCTCTTCCTCC